ACAGGTCTAATACAGAAAAGGATACAGTCCTAGTCTTACTGGCAGAAACATGTGGAAAGGAACAGTGTGCTTCTGAACTTTGCAGAGGATAGTTATCTCAGGTGCAATGTGCAGACAATTTGCAACATCAGTGGAACTTTTTTCGTTTCTAGAACAGAAAGTAAAACATGAGAAAGCCAATGCCAAGAAGACTGTAACATAAGTGGAAATTTTCTCCTTTCTAGAAGAGAAAGTAAAATATGAGAAAGCTAATTATAATGCCAGGAAGATTGTCAATAAAATACATTGTGAGATACAATAAAGTACAACCGCATGCTGACTAAGCATGGTCTTGTTCAGTAACGTCTGTATACAAATTAAAGCAACAAAGCCCTGGTTGACATTTCTAAGGAAACTCCCCCTTGTAACATAAATATGGAAATTGTTTAATGGCCACACCTAAATGGTTTCAAGTAACCTTTTCATTGTGGTACAAACAGAATTATTCTATTATTCTGTACTTTTTGAAATTAAATACCTGCAGTATTACAGAGATCCAGTGAATTAAGTTCACATGACAGTCACTCAAATAAACTTCCACAGTGAAACAACAATGTTAAAATATTATTAGTGACAGACATGGAACCAAGGCCTTCAAGTTGACTCCAAGAATGAATAACAATAAACTATAGTAACTATTACTACAATTATTTTGCAATAATATTAAAATAATGAAAAGGTGCTAAAACCTTTTTTCTTGACATTGAGACAAACTGAAACTGGGTTCCATCTTCTTCTTGCTCTTTTCAAAACACGAATTGAATCCTGGCAGTTCAGTTCGTGTTTGACCCTGAGATGACAATAACAAAAGAACTACACTGTACATGTAAAGAGTGCATTGTTTTGGAAAATAGAGATTTGCATAAAAAGAAGTAGCACAAATAGAAGGAACAAAGAAAAAAATATGAAAATAAAATTACCTCACCAAAGATCAGAGAACCTTGCCATACAACTGATGGATTAAATAGTTTTGTAGTGATATCATTTTGGTTTAGCTGTGAGATTGAAAACTTCAGACTATTCTGCCAAGACTTCATAAAGGAATTCCTTCAATAAAACAAGAGAGATGTTTAATTAATAAATAAATAAAAATTACCAAAAGCGCTGATGAAATTCTGATGTTTCAATTTAAGTCATCTACACCAACATGTTGCTAGATTACAATCAGTTAATGCAAATTAGTTAACTAGTCAGCACCCAGCTTACCAGTGGACAGTTCTGAGAAGTTTTAGTTTCTTTGTAAATCTTGGTTTTCACCTGATACAGCGATATTGGCATTGTCAAAATATTTCTGACAAGTTTCTCTCATTTGACAACATTTTAATGCTGGGGGTAACCTTGTGAAGAACTAGCATCCCATCCAGGGGGGAGTAGAAATACTCCTAGTCACTTTATGATACAGAAACCGGAGATATTAAGTTCCAGTCTAATGGGCCACTTGGCTGGTATGCAGACTTTTTCTTTGAATTCATTTAGTGTCATCGAACATGGAAGCCAAACCTCTGTCATATGTATCTCTTGGGATTGGTCGCAAACCATCACTATTGAAAACAATGAAAACTCTACCAAAAAGTTTACCGTATTTATAGTTTCTTTTTGGTAAAAACATTCACTGACAGGTCATCCCACTAAGTGTAGAAAGTAACAAGATCACTATCACAGCCATATGCATTACACAGGTTCAATTAAATTCTTACCAAATCTCAGTGAACAGCAACAAAAGTTTACCTGTCAAACTCATTACTGCAAAGAACAGTTATGTTAGCATTATGCCATTGCTGCAAGCGCTTTAATGCTCCAAACAGGTGCAGATGGGACCTGAACCATTCAAAAGTGAATAATATCCTAATCAGTTTACGTCACATAATATTTTAATTGTCAAGAAACAATTTATAATTCTTCAAATGCAGGTTAACTGTCCTTGAAGAAGTAAGAAACAAAGCAAATTTTTTGTAGGAAAACCACAGTTCACAAATAATGAGGTCAGATCAAAACATTAATGACAAAAATTGAAATGTTTAAAATATTATCCTTATAAATTAAATAAAATTACCTGATTGGCACATTGGTCTTTCCACAAATGAACCAAAAGACATCAATGGGAACTCCTGCTAATAAAATAACAAATTACAGTTATATTATTGGCCCGTTGTTGAACATTGCCTAAAAGACAGTAAGTTAAAAAAAATCACTGGCAACATGAATATTGAATGCATTAGGAATAAACCTATTGTCAGTTCCCCCACTGTTTTAAAAGTTCTTTTTCCCATCTTTAAATAAAGTTATTATTTATTCATTATTTATATACAAATGTGTGTAGGGAATTCAATAGTCTGTACAATTTTACAACATTACAAGAAGTAATGACCAAATTTGTATAAAAAACAATAAATTAATAACAGTTTAGTACATAATTAATAAGGTTGATGTTCTTGTGTGGAGTTAGTAAATAGTAGGAACAAGATATGATTAATTAAATAATTAAATATAATAATTAATTAAATTATAGATTTTTAATTTATGTATCACTTAAATTTGGAGAACTATTCATAAATTACTGAACAGAAGTACCTTGATCTGGTAAACCATCTGCAAGCTGGTGTAGTCTTTCAGAAATTTCAGCATCACTATCAGAACTATTTAGGAGCAAGAGAAGTTTTATTACAAACCAATGGGGCCTGGATCAGTTTTAATAAACAAAGTAAAAATTAACAGTCATGTGTCTTGTAAGGCAGGCAATTGTCACAACTGCTGATGGGGCTATTTGCCAATGCTGACCTACACATACCACTCAACCTAAACTTGTAAGAAAGATTAATTTGCCCAAATTCCAGTCTCATTCTTTTATTTTCTTTATTGTCTGGTGTTGCTTGAATATTAGGGAGCTTAAGAAACCACAGTGGCGACATCGAGGACAGCGTTGATTAAAAAATGGGTTTATATTTTACCTACAAATCTCGTGGTACTCTAGAGTCATTTAATTTGTCTATCACTGTCAAAGCCATCATGAAACTGAATCCAGGACACATCGATTAACTCAAAACAAAAATTTAAAAAACCAGCCGTCGTGGTTCACATTCTCCAGACAATGCAGAATTTGGTCATTTCACGTTGTTGTTTTGCAGAGGACGGCAAAGAAATGAACTAAGAATTATAATGCACGTGCACAGCCATTGTTCCGCTCATAAATCTTTTGTTTAGCGATGTTGCCATTGCTGTTGCCGATGTGGTTTTCTTAAGCTCCCTATTACTGGGTTAGCTTGGCATGCATGTAGAGCTCTACTAGTGGTGTTAAAGAAGTTCATGTAATTAGTTGATGAACGCAGGTCATGTGTACTAAAGGCATCCGCAGTCGAGTGTTGATCCATACTCTCGATTGATACTCTTGATCGACATCTCAATCAGTACTCGATCAGCATCCCAATTGGTACTTTGTCAACACTCTATCCCTGATCAACAGTCAGTCAATAGTCAGCCAAGTCTTGATGGACTTAAATGAATCGAGCATAGGGCATCCACCAGTACCCTCCAACGCGCATATTAAAAAGTGCATACTCATAGGGAAATATCAATCAATACCTTACATCGACAGGATTCTGATTCCTAGGACTAACTGGCTTTTCAAGTAGTCTCAATACTTCCTTGAGATATTCTCCTGTATGCCATCTTGAATAACACTGAAAAAAGACACAGCAAGTATTTTGCAGCAAATAATAAAAACAACACTATTAGAATATTTTAAAAGACATACATGTATTAAAACTCATATATTTTAGTAGCGTCTTGTCTCCAATGAAAATTTCATTCTTGAATGGCACTAAGATGACAATGACATGTCATATGCAAGCATTTAATATAATTTCTTTAAAAATGTTTTTCTACAGATGCATCTTCAATCAGAAGTATTGGTTAAGAGTACATCTACATGTACTTTTACTATCAGCAACAAATGAAGAACTTAGATCGTTTGGCAACATTTACATGAACACAGGTGGCTTCATAAAGGTTTTCAACAGGAAGGCAATATTATTGTTATTCACAGCCAAGCCAAGTTTTGAAGTGAACTTCTTCATAAGAAATAATCTCCATTACAGGGCTTAACCAGGCTGGAAAAATCTTGACAGGTTGACAGGTGAGGGGTGAAAGGTAGGAGGTTAGGGTGTTGTCATTATCATTATCATTGTTGAGAGCTTACTGTAAGCAGGGTCAGTAACCTGAGCATTATTCAGGCAGATCATGTGTACTAAAGGCATCCGCAGTCGAGTGTTGATTGACACCCTCGATATGGATCAGCACTCCATTGACACCTCAGTCAAACTTGAACTTTACCTGTTGAACTTACAATTTTGATTTTGATTTCTTACATACAGTTACAAGAATTTTTTGCCCCGCAACTAGTTCCAGATCAAGAGTCAATTGCGGGTCAATTGGGTGTATCAGTTGACACTCGACTGTGGATGCCTTTAGTACACATGCTCCATTCAGGCTGACTGGCCAGAGAGCTATTCAGGCTTACCTGGCTTACCTTACCTCTCAACCTTAACCCAGAGCCCCCATAGCCCCTTCCCTAGTTACAGTGTGGAAAGAAAGTGCTGGCCGATAGCCTGGGACTAGTGGATTATCCAGTCAGGATAGTGGATTCTGTCCTTTACTAGCTGAATGGGCAAGTGAAGTTGCTTAGGAAAATTTCAATTGCAGAAATTCAAAACTATTACAGTAGTATAAGTAGAGATCTTTTTGGGGATACATGTAGTAAGAATGATTTATGGGATAGTACATCATAGTACTGTAGATAGAGATTGCCTGAAGGGCAAGACTAAGAAAAATGTTTTCTTTGCACCCTAGCCAGTCAATTTGTTTGGTGCCTTTTCCTTAAGGAAACCCCCTGGTACACAGCATTGAACTAAAAATGAATTCATTAATTACAAGTCACATGGCATTAAATTATATTTAGCAATGCTCACAGTCCCAAATCCTTCAGTCTTTCAATCATGTGTACTACAGGCATCCCCAGTCGAGTCTCGATCGATACCCTCAATCGATACCCTTGATCGACATCTCGATCAATACCTGATCAAAATCCCGATTGATACTTGGTCAACATTCTGTCAACACTTGATCAACAGTCGGTCTATAGCCGGCCGAGTATCGACCAACTAATATGATTCGATCAAAAATTAGTCGACTCTCAAACGACTGTCAACCAAGATGTCAATGGAGTGTTGATCAAGTGTCAACCAAGGTGTCGATGGAGTGTCAATCGTGTCATGTATGACTTTTAGAGACCATCGGAGGGCTTCTCAGTATTTAACAGATCGCATAACGATCGAGGGTCGATCGAGGGTATCGATCGATACTTGACTGCAGTGCTGTCAGTACACATGATCCCAGTCCTTTGCTGTAGACTCTGGGAAACTTCTCTTAAGGACAGTGCCTACTTTTATTAGTGCGCACACCTTCTGTGCATCGCACAAGACATGGTTTAAGTGCCATGCACACGCTGGGGTTGACATTGACACAATCAACTATGCTACTAAGTACTGACGACTAAAATGAGAGCAAAATTTTCCTACTGTGACCAAATCAAGTTTAATGAGCCTGTACAAGTACTTTAACCAGAAACACCAGAAGAGCAGCATATCGCTAACCACTAACTGTTAACATCTTTCAACCGAAAAACTAGCTGTTATCTGGCAAAAATTATACTGAAATCCAACTGCAAAAATGTTCCTGCCGATGGCATAGTGCTCACGCAAAACAAGCGCGAGATTTGCAAATGTTTGACTTACTGGGGAGGTGGCAGGAAAACTGTAGCACACACCATAAATCTCAAAAAAGATCAATAACTTAGAAAAACATGTGGTTACCCCTACATTTTATGTTATGAAATGGAAGTGGCAAAACTATTCAACACGTGATTAGGTTTTTGGTTGTGAGTAAAAGGTGTTTAGACTATATTTTAGCTGAACCAGAGGAAGGCTGTCAGAGATGCTAAGGGCACTGTTGCAACGATTTTGTTATTAAAAACATACCAAAAAGGGTTTTTATGTTACCGTGTACCATGCAGTTTTAAGATCTTTATAAATTTGTTTGCTTCTCTATATGTAAAGGAAAATTGTAAGGAAATCTGTGAAGAAATGTCCTTTTCTTCTTTTTTCAGAAAATTGCTGATGTCAGCATTTTGTGATTCAAGGCTAATTGTCTCAAAAAATGCGTGGCTACCCCCATTTTTCTTGGTGGATTCCAATAGCCCTTGCAAAGATCTACTTTTTCCACATGGTCCTAGCCTGGCGCAAAAACCTTTGTATTT